ATGGGGATTAGCATTACATTACTGGGAGACCATTGCTGCAACATTTGTGAAGCCAGGGTTAAATCTTTGGGTCTTGATATTGAAAAGACTAGGAAAACAATTTATATAACTGGGGGGGGAGGGAGGTATTATATACTTTACAACTTATCAATAAGTCACCATAAGGATGTTATTTGCCCGAGACCAGCCAGTGAATTGCAGGGCTCAGCACAGAGAGTTAAGCAAAGACCAGTGTGACTGAAATGTCTGTCCCACTCTATTTTGATGACTTCAACTTTTAGATTATCTTACTTTGGAGGGAATGTCTGTCTCTCAAAGCAATACCTTTTTGCTAACATATGCTGGAATGCCAAATGTTTTTATCCCTTTATATCAGGCAATCCTTTTAAGCACCGACATGGTGCACCTACAACAGCATAGTGAGAATTTAGAAATAAAGCTGGCAAGAATGTACAAAAACGTATTTCACTGTTGAAGTGGAAGTTAAATACCAGACAGCATGAAATATAATTTACTTAAATCTATGGCACCACCTTGTTGAGAGAAAAAAATCAATAAAGGGTTAGCATGCAGATTTGAAACTTAGAAGGGATTTAGACATAGTCAGTTGGAAAGCTTTAGAGACTCAGTTTGAAAGCTTTGCCAAATGCTCAAAAGAACTTTTGTGTGTGTGAATTTGTTCCCATGTTCAAAACCTAACCCCAGACAAGACATGTGATCTATTCTAGGTAAGCGCTATGCTCTCAACAGCCCCCTCCAAAGCATTTCTACTCAGAATTATTTCAGAACAGAATTCAACGGAATTTTTTATTTCTAGCAAGATGGCTTGAGATGACTACCTTAGAAGTTCAGCATACCTACCCGCCCTTCAGCTACCTCCCCTACATTAGCCACAACACTGCTATGTTAAACATGCAGCAACGGTCAGGGTTTCCCATCAAGCAGTGGCTCTCTCATTTTCTCTCCAGCAGCTGTATTCCAGATATTTCAGGGGTGGGGGTGGGCGGAATGGACTCCACGTGACTCCCTCTGCGCCCAGAGGGAGCCTTGCAATCTTAGTACAGTCGTACCTTGGAAGTCAAACAGAATCCGTTCTGGAAGTCCGTTTGACTTCCAAAACATTTGAAAACCAAATTGCAGCTTCTGGTTGGCTGAAAGAAGCATCAGAAGCCGCGGAAGCCCCATTGGACGTTCAGGTTCCCAAAAAAATTGTTTGCAAACAGGAACACTAACTTCCAGGTTTGTGGTGTTTGGGAGCCAAAACATCCGAGTTCCAGGGCGTTCGGGATCCAAAGTATGACGGTAGTTACAAACAGAGAATCAACAACAAACAGAGGATCCAGCAACAGGGGCATCATTGTATCAGATCCTTTAATAGAAGGGACCAGCGTTCGAAACCAACCAGGCACCAGACGCGTTTTGCTACTGGTGTGGGTCCAATTACAACTACATGGAGATTTCTGGGTGCCAGGTTGGCGACCAGTTTAAAAACCTCTGCCTTAGTTCATATTTAATACCATTTCCATTTCCCCTGTGTGTGCTTTTTTCCTTTTTGAATACTAGGACAAGTGAATTGTAAGGGCAAGCTACAGTCAAGCAATGCAGTTGAGATCACAGAATCATAGAGTTGGAAGGGACTCTGAGGGTCATCTAGTCCAACCCCCTGGTGAATAGACATTCCATTGTGGCAACCACAACCTAGATTTAAGGTGCCATTTGGCACCTAGCCTATATATCTGAGCTTCTAACACCAGAAGGGATGTGTGTAAACAGGACATCAACCAAAAAGAGATTGCTAGAAGAGAATGCCTGATGAAATTCTCACATGCACTTTTATGAAATTAATGTTTTCTTCGCATAAGTTGCCATAGGAAATGGAAATGGCCAACAGAATAGCGGATTCAAAATGCTGCTCAACCTTGAAGCATACTGGGTAGACCTTGTATCACTCATTATTTCTCAGCCTCAGCTGCCAGACAATATTACAGTGGTACCTCTGGTTACGTACTTAATTCGTTCTGGAGGTCCGTTCTTAACCTGAGGTACCACTTTAGCTAATGGGGCCTCCCGCTACAGCCACACCGCTGCTGCGCGATTTCTGTTCTCATCCTGAAGCAAAGTTCTTAACCCGAGGTACTATTTCTGGGTTAGCGGAGTCTGTAACCTGAAGCGTCTGTAACCTGAAGCATCTGTAACCCGAGGTACCACTGTATTATGGATGTAAAACTAGATAATCCCCTTCTACACCACTTCCTGCCAACCTAGCAGTTCGAAAGCACGTCAAAGTGCAAGTAGATAAATAGGTACCGCTCCGGCAGGAAGGTAAATGGCATTTCCATGCACTGCTCTGGTTCGCCAGAAGCGGTTTAGTCATGCTGGCCACATGTACGCCGGCTCCCTTAGCCAGTAAAGTGAGATGAGCACCGCAATCCCAGAGTCGTCCGCGACTGGACCTAACAGTCAGGGGTCCCTTTACCTTTACCTTACACCACCTTTACTCTTTGGAAGAAGGGTAATGTTTCCAAAAGGAATGGGTGCATTCATGAGAGTGGACAACCCATTACCACTGTAAGTCAGGAAGAATGCTCTCATGTCAAAAGCAACCCAAACTACTACAAATGAGATCAATAGGGAGAACAGCTACTATGACAAACTTTATAGACTTCCTCTGGCCTTCACCAATGCTACTTGCTACACTGGATCATGTAATATCTTTTTCCTGTATCCCAATATTTAAGATTTCCAAGATGACAAGTTTGTAGCATTACTGACTAACAGTGTTTACTCTATGTATCAACTGAGTTAGACAATGGTCACCATTGCTACCTTAGTAACGTATTCACATCACAACCACAGATTTCAAACTTTTATCTACCAAGACCAAATGAGGTTGGCAGACTATTTGAAACAGTCAACAAAATTAAGATTGACAGGACATCGTTTAAAAGTTATTGGTGCTACACTTTACTTTTCATTTGCAAATAACCAATGTCTGCTTCATTTCTAATGCAGTATCTCTTAATCCGAGGTACCATTGTATTTCTATACTTAAGATATATATAATATCTAAATCTTGTATAACTGCAATGTTCAACATGATTTTCCAAGCCCACAAAAGCTAGGAACAGGGGCTACTTTAAAGACAGAAACTTCCTGTCTTAGAAGAATGACAATATGTGATATCAACAATAAATTATATGGTCACAGACCTGGCAATATAACTGATTCACAAAATCCCCAGCTTTTTCCTCATCCCATGTGCTAAATTCACTACAGTAAGTTACACATGGCAATCAAAGCTCTTAATCACATCACTGTCAAATAGGCATGCCAATGCTATTCTCACTCTATAGAAGGTGAACCAAGGCCAACAGCCAAATACTTGTCATCTAACCAGCTTGTGGCTTAGCAAGAATGTGAACTCTAGTCTGCCAGCTCTCTTCACTAGACATGTCACTGTCTGCCTTGTCATCCAAGATCAATTGGAATTACATTTATGGGCCCTTAGGTATCTCTAGACTTTCTAGTGTATACCAGCACTTAAAACTTTCAGCTGTTACTACCACATTGCATTCCCAGTAATCTAATCTTCCTCCCAATTAGGAGAAATGGTAGCTTAGGACTAGTTGATAGAATAAAGTACCTACCAGGTTTTTACTAGCAATAACAAATTTTGAGGAAGGAGGGGAAACAGTGCAACATAAAACTTGGTACACCATCAAAGAAAATAGTCAATTCAGAAAGTAAAACTACAACTTTGAAATTTTCTATGCTGGCAAGTGACCTGTTTCATCCAGCAGTCCAGAGACATGGTAATAGGAATGTAAGAAGGGCCTGCTGGATCAGGTCAATGGCTCCTCTAACCCAGCAACCTGCTCTCACAGTGACCAACCAGGGGAGCTGAGCATAAGAGCACTCTCAATAACAGGCATTGAGAAGCTTACTGCCTCTGAATCCATTTGAATCTATTCATCTATTTAGTGGCAAAGCAAGAAAGTAGAGCCCATTCTGAAGGAGCGAGTTGTAATATTAACTGAAAAGTCAGATGATACAGCATAAACAAATTAATTTCTAATGTTAGTTATCTTTCGGCTTTCCCAAACTTAGTATCAGGACAGGTGTTGATTTTAATGTAACAAATAAGAGGTCTCTATGATTATCACATTCATTACATCAACAGCTACTCATTCTTTAACATACAAACCCCACCTTCCCATTTAAAATACACACCCATCCCATTTCCAAAGTTGCTTAAAAGCAGCTTCCCTCACTCTTTCCCAGTGAGGACAAAACGTGAGAGGACATGGAAGGTCTTAGCAATAAATTCAATACTGTGTATTTGGGAAAGAAAGTATACTGAAGTTATGAGGTTTAGGATCCTAAACCTCATGTACATTATCTGGGAGAAGTTAAGATGAAGCATATCAACTCCACCCCAACTTAGCTGGCCTTATGTGAGTGTAAATAGCTTACCCAGCTCATGGACTTACACCGGCTGAAGGAAAGCCCTGCTGGGGAAAGTAACACCAGTGTACAGGGCAAAAGGGGGCATGTCAAGGGTGGGGAAAGCAGCTCATGGAGGAGGAGGAGGAGGCGGAGGTATAAACTATGGTTTGCCGCATCCTCACTATCTTCATTCACTGGCCCTATAAACAGAGCTCAGTAACTTACACTGCCAAAAATGCAAGTGTAAATTTAATTCACCCATTGGAAGAGGATAAAAGCCCCCCACCAATCAGGAGCAGTTAACATGCAGCTTAAGGAGAGACACCACATATCTGTCTCCCTGCGAATCTGCCTGTTTAAAATTGATCTGCTCTCCTCCAAACAAAATACCCAATGCTTGGAAAGAATAATCTATGCACCATAAAATGCACAAGGCATATCAGCTCACACTCTTAGTTAACAAACCAACACATTTACAAGTTACTTTTGTAAAAGTAATGTGAAAGACAATCTGCCATTCAGCACCCAAGAGCTGGTTAGCAAGTGGTTCTTACCTTATCTTTTTCATGTGGAAGGAGAGATACTGGAGGAAGACAAGAAAGAGAGTCACAGCTCTCTTTCCCATCTGCATTTGTGGCTGCTTTAGTATTGAGTTGGTACAGAGGTCCATCTTTAAGGAGTCGCCCATGGCCAATTGCCCGCTTGACAGCCAATCGCAGTTGCTGGTGAAAGGTGGAAGGGGCACTGCTTGCAAATAGAGCTGACACATCCTTCTGCCCTTTCAAAAAGCGTTCAATGTTCTTCAAGGATGAGCCACTGGACTCTGCCAAGCCCTCAACTGCCCGTTTAATCAGTTTATTCCAGTCCACGTTTGGTTTACCATCCAACTTTCCATGGTTTCGTGGTTTGGGAAGTGCTATTCGCCCAGGGTTATCAGGATCCTTATAGGAATTAAGTCCCTTATTGGAAACCTTTAATATGGTCCCATCTTTAACACTCAGTTCCAATTGCTCCAGAACCGTTTTTCGATCCAAACCATGGGACGAAGACACAGCATTGCATATCCTCTCTTCTGAAGGGCGCTGTTTTTGCTTCTTGACCTTTTTAATTGCCTCCAAAATCCACTCCGTGTACAACGGGTTAGCGAGTTTTACCATGATGAAGACTTTTGTATATCCATAGAGTCGTTATCCCTTATCCCTATACTGAAGGAGTTTCACAGAATGGGAAAACAGATGATCGGAGGATAGGGACCAGTTAACCATAGCATACACGTTGTTTGCCCCAAATTCCTTTTTCAAACATAAGATTTCCTATTTACCATTTAAAAATATATATCCTGTTAGGAACCAATTCATATTTTCCAATGCCCCCCCCTCCAAAAAAAGCAGCAGGTGTATCATACAGGTGAGACGAATTCAGCACATCTCATTCCAGCTCTTTACATTCCCAATCTGGTACACAAGTAAATAAAATGGTAAGCCTGAAAGAAAGAAAAAAGAGAAAACAGAGTTATTTGACTTTTTAACAAGCAGCTCCTAACTGTAAAGTTTTGCTAGCCCCTCAGCACAACAGCGTCAGCATAGCTGTGTTAAAAAAGGGAAATTTGTCCAAGAATATTTGGTCTAAAAAAAAATCTGAAAGCAATTAAAGATTTGGCATTTAAAATGGCAATGTATTGGGCCAATTCTTCAACAAGTCTGGACTTGAAGCAAAACACCATTTAGAAGGCACTAACCACCAAAAGAACTGAGGCAAAATCCTCCAAAGGTAGAGAAGAAAATCACACAGAAAACCCAGCTCATTCCATCTCATCACCCAGGAAAGAGACTTGCAGGATTACTACAAGAAAACAAGCTGGTTGGACAAGTCACCATCATTTGGGGGGAGAAAAAGGTAAGTTGGGAGGGGCAAAGGCAACTGCCTAACAAGAAAGCTGCAGAAGCCCATCTAGCCCAACCTTTCACAGCCGTCGGGCCAACCCAACACCTACATGAAGGTTGCAGCTAGGCTACTTTCTGAAGGTATAGGACCCTACCACCTGCTCAAGCGGAGCATGGTTGGGGTCTGGTCAGGGATTGAGTGGCAATCACATGTATCCCACCTCAGGCTCCAAGATGCAAGGGAACAAACTTTAAAACTCCCTAAACTTGCAAGGGATGCACAGAAGAACTATGGCGCAATGCACTGCACGCCTTGAGCCCAAAAATAAGCCAGAATGCCGCCTACCCTAACTTTACGGGATAAAGTTTTTACCCTCTTTAGAGTCCCTTTTTTGTTTTTAAGTTTGCAAGGGGCGCTCAGGTCTGAACACCGCAAGATCTGGGTGGCCGCGAAGCCTAAGGAAGCGCCGCGCATCTTCCGAAGTCGGGGAAAGGAAAAGTCGCTCGCATCCGTGCGTGTGTTGCAAAAAAGCAACAATAAACAACTGGCCGCCAGAGCGAGCGAGAAAAGGCGTTATGTAAGGAGAAGCAGCGGCAGCGCAAGTTGGGTCCGGAGGCGGCGGGCCGTCTCCGTCCTTCGGCCGCTTCTCTCCTCTCGCCCTTTCAGGCCCCGGGCAAGAAGGAGGCAGCGGGCCCAGCCGCCTCGCCCGCGGCGGGGTCCCCGAGGGCGAAGCGCGGCCCAAGCCGAGGAGGCCTCGCCCGAGGCGGCCCGGATGCCAAGCGGCGGCGCTCCGGCCCCGCGGCGGCCTCGCCGGCTAGGCCCGCCCGCCTGCTCGCTCTGGCGCCGCCGAGGCCGACTTGGCCTGCACCTGCCGCCGCCGCCGGCGGGCGGGCGGGCGGGCGGGCGCCGAGGGAGGCAGGCAGGCAGGGAGGCAGGCAGGCAGGCGAGGCCGCGGCTGGGCCGGAGCAGGCCGCGGCCGGGCCTGGCGCGAGGAGCCCGCCCGATGCCCGCCCGCCCGCCCGCGCGCAGCCTCTCGCTCCCTCGGCTTCTCCCCGCCTCCGCCTCCTCCTGCTTCGCCTCTCGCCGCCGCTGCCCGGCTGGGAGCCGCCCCTCCGCCCGCCCGCCCGCCCTCGCCCTCCGCCCGCCGGAGAGGCGCCGCGGCCGCCGCTGCTTACCGGGGCCTACGCGAGGCGGAGCCCAGGAGCCTGAGGCCGGACGGCGGCGAAGACCCAAACTGACACGGCGGCCATCTTGGGTCCGGAGCTGGGCGGAGGGCGGCGCGGCGCGCAGCGGAACAGCCGAGGGGGCGGAGCCGCGCGGGGAGGGGAGCCGGGCCGCGGAAGGGCCCAGCCCGGGAGACGCAGGCCGCGTGCGCGCCGCCGCCGCCCAGAGACGCGCGGAGCCGGCCGGGCGAGGGACGGGGCGCCCGGCTGGGAAAGGGAAGCTACGGTTGCCAAGGGGAGGGCGCCGCTCGGGGACCCCAGTCGAAGGGGGGCTCTGCCCCGAGGAAACCAGAGCCAGGGCCCCCATCGCCAGACCTGAAGCCCTGCTTTTGGGGGGCGGGGGACGCGGATCCCTAAACATGTTTGAATCCGTAGGAAACCGAGAGCAGCCCTCAGCGTGGCCTGAAGGCATCTCCAGCCCGGCCTTCCTCGGAAACGGCGCTCGCCGTGCAGGATCCATCCGCCCAGGGAAGAAGGCCTCTCGGAGCGCGTGCAGAGTGCATTGCCTTCTCTCTCCGCTGGGCAGACCACAGCCAAGCCCCCGAAAAAGACGGAGCTGCTCAGGCAGGCTTCTAGCCCTCGCTGCTGATTTTAGAAACTGAGGACTGGGAATAATCATCTCCTCTTATTTTGTATTACTAATGTATTATTAGTAACTGCATAAATATGCCATGAAAGGGATACAGGCAAAGAAGCCACAGTTTTTGCTTGACTGTACAGTTTAAACAAAAAGAGCATTGAGAGGCAATAACTGACCTGTTTGTGTTTGTTAGCTGACCCAAGACAGCACTTTAAATTTGGGGATTGGGAGATGAGATCCATGGTGAAGTTCAAAGGATAGGTCATGAATACATTTAAACTGAATTATGAGCAGGGGGGGGGAGAACACGGAACATTTGTTGTGGTCATTTACCCTATCCCCCCTTCATAATAAGTATTGAAATATGTTTTCAGCACACTTCAAAATCAACTTCTTTTGATGTAATGGGATTTTTGGAGCCCTAAGTGTAGTGTGGTAATTAGCATGTTGGACTGGGACCAGGGTTCAAATCCCCCTCTCACCCATGAACCCCACTGGGCATGACCGTGGATCAGGCCCCATCTCTCAGCCTGATCCACTTCTCAGGGTGGTTGTGAGAATAACATGGAGAAGGGGAGAAGTGTGTAAAACACCCTAAGCTCCTCGGGAAAACCAGTGTGGTGGTGTGGTTAAGAGCAGTAGTCTCGTAATCTGGGGAACCGGGTTCGCGTCTCCGCTCCTCCACATGCAGCTGCTGGGTGACCTTGGGCCAGTCACACTTCTCTGAAGTCTCTCAGCCCCACTCACCTCACAGAGTGTTTGTTGTGAGGGAGGAAGGGAAAGGAGAATGTTAGCCGCTTGGAGACTCCTTCGGGTAGTGTTAAAGCGGGATATCAAATCCAAACTCTCGGATGAGGAGTGGGATATAAATTTAATAATAATAATAATAATAATAATAATAATAATAATACTGAATGCACAGTAGTGTGTACGTGACCCAGTGACTTGCCCAGATTACAGGAGCCGCTGAATAAATGAGAATCAAGATGGACACAGGAAAAGCAAAGGACTTCATGGGGAGCAGCTTTGCAGCAGACATTAAATTTCTGAAAGCAGAGAAAACAGCACATTTAACATTAATGCTCTAACCCTAAGCATAATTTCTCTAAAGTACGGTAGGTCCTACTGGTTTCGATGGTGTTAGCTTTCTTCTAAGTATGCGCAGGATTGCAGCATTGTACAATTTTCAGTTTATGGTTCAATTAAAACTTGCATGTGAAAGTGCCTTTCTTTCAAGTAACCACAGGAATCCAGCAATGAGGGTGCAAGCGGCTTATCTTGGGAGGGTGGGATTTCTCCCTCCTTGCCCACTCCTCTGCCACCCCCAATGCAACCTCCTTGAAATATGTGGGGTTGATGTCCGAGTGATCCTGTGTAGGGTTGGGCTATGCAGATGCATCCCCTAACCACTGGAAACCAATATCCATTTGTTTCAAGACAAGTAATGATTTGCATTCAGCCCATTGCCTTTTTTTGTGTTCAGGAAGTCTATAAAGTCCTTTCAGCAATCACTGAGAAATCAGAAGAGGGGAGGAGGGGTCATAGTGGGGGGGGGGAATAGTCATAGCCTTGTTTCCCATTACAGTATCAGCAAATTCAGCTGCTGAAAATAGCAGGATGGCAGCCAAAACAGAATTATAGAGAAGTAAGCGGGAGGAATCAGCTTGCTCAAAAATATTTAAGGGAAAGAACTCTAAAGGGACACAAACACACAAAAGCAGCCCTGTGAGGAATGATTGTGCCAGCCTTTGCTAACCTGGTGCCCCCCCCCCCGATGTCTTGGCTGTGGCTTATCAGAGTTGTAGTCCAAAACATCTGGAGGGCACCAGGTTGGTAAAGGCTGCAATGAGCTCAGTGACTACAGAATGCTGATTGTCAGCATGGGGGACAGAGAGAAAAATGGGGAAGGGGGATCAATAGAGTATCCTGGAAAAAGGCGAGTCGGGCCAGTTAGAACCTTGAACAGGGAACACCCCACCTTGCTACAGAGTCCACTTTTTGAGACCTAAATTCAAACTAAGGAGTATCCAGCTGAAATGTGAGTTTGGTACTTTGCATGCAGAAGATCCCAGGTTCATGCTTCAGCCAAAACGGAGGCCAGGTAGCAAGGATCGTCTTCCGAAGACACGGAAGAGCCAGTGCCTGCCAGAGGAGTAGGCCAGGCTGAGCCAGATGGAGCCGTGGTCTGACTCCCAAGTTCCTTGTTTGGCACAAAGGATATACCCATAATTTTTCACTAAAAGTGTGGTTTGTTTATTTGTACTATTTCTTATAATTAAACCATCACTTCCACCTGAAGTTAACTCCAAACAATCTGTTTCACCTCATTTAGTGTCTAATTGGATGCATGTTTATGATGCCTGTTGACACGCATGCCAGCCTGTTTCCCCCCTCTCTCGTCATCTCTCAACCTCGCCTCCCTCACTGGGTTGTTCTGTGCATAAAAAATGAAGGAGAGAACCATGAATTCAGCCTTGAGCTCCTTGGAGGAAAGGCAGGATATAAATGTAATAGATAAGCATCTGTTCTCCCAAATATGTATGTGCGCAACTGAAGCCTCAAAGTGGGGGCAGGGTCATTGGGTGTTTCTGCAGCTCAGCCAACTTACCTATTCTTATAAGCATAGCTTAAGCAAACATTCCTAGCTGCAAAGGACAGCTATAAAATGGGGAGTTATCATGTCTCTGCCTCCAGGCCATACAAGATAGTGTCTATAGCTATGGATGGGCAAATCTAACAATTTTGGTTTTGCTCAGTTTCTCACTTTTTCAATCTTAAATTCAGTTCTCCATATTTTTGCATCAGTTTGCTAAAAATTTTTTTAAAAAACCTCTCATGAAAATTAATCAGCATTTCAGTGCGAATTTCCCCTAATTTTTGCATGCTGTTTTCACTAATATATGCGTTTTCTATAGTGTGTGCATTTTTTTAAACTCAAGAGTAGGGTTCAGAGTTCTAAAGAGTAAAAATCAGTCCAGATATGGAAGGCCCTTGGGCAAGGTCACCTCAGTGAATCCTCACTACAGTCTTTCCACACATTTACTCATCTTCCTCTGGGCACAGTCCTCACCAACATGCAGAGCAGGAGGTGGGCGGCTATTCCTCCTGTTCTTCTCCACTGCCAGCTCTGGTACCCCTGCAACCACCTCTGAGCTACAGCGTCTCTGTTATCCATTCCCAGAGAGCTTGTCGCTTTCTCCACCAAGCCCATGGCTGCTCTTCTAATTGACCAGAGATGGCCATTTCTGTGCAGCATGCAAACTCCTAACCTGATTCTATGCATATTTACTCAAAAGTAATCTCCACAGACTTTCAAGCAGGGAGGGGGAACCTTTGCCACTCCAGATGTTGTTGGACTCACATCAGCTCCGGACAGCCTATGGCCAGGGAGGAGGATGGAGGTGGTTCTCCAGCACCATCTAGAAGGTGTGTACAAGGCGGGGCACTTAAAAACTCTTTCTGAGGCAGGAAAACCCAGCATGGAGAAAACTTTTAAGCTCTCTGCTTTTCTTACTGGGCTCTGGGAAGGTCCTGCATGGGTCCTGGAGGCCTTCACGAGATCCTGTGATATCTTGCACAGCCCCACAATATCTTGTGAAGGCCTCCAGAGCCCATGCAAGAACTCCCCAGAGCCCAGGAAGCAGCACAGAGAGCTTGAAAGTGCTTTCCATGCTGGGTTTTCCTGCCATGGAAGAACTTTTTAGTTCTCCACCTTGTGCAATTGCATGCTGGCCAGCTGCCAAGCATGTAATACTGTAGCCACACAAGTTAAATGCATGCAAGTCAACTGTACCAACAGGGCAGGTGTGCAGATAGCTGAATGTGCATGCCTTGTTTCTTAAAATAATTCCCCATCCAGGGACAACAGCAAATTATTTTTAAACAAAAAACACACCCTTTTGCTGTTTTCTGGATTTGTGCAAAGCATTCCAGGGCATGCCAGAAATAGAAGCATAACTGGAAAAGAAATGAAAGCAGTTTTGAATTCTCAGCACACACCTTTTAGATTGCTGTGCAATGTCTGGTGTAGGAATTTTTAAAGCAGCTTGCTTGTACAGTTTTAAAGTTTTGTGCAAATCTGAGGGATCAAAAGTTGCAGCAGGGGAATATAATAGTTATGACCGTGACAAGGGTCGGGGAATGAAAGCACTGAGGAAGTTGTAGCTGTGGAAAGGGGAGAAGTAGAAAGTGATTATTGATTCACCCATCCAAAAAGCAAAAACAAATCATTGGCAATCCCAAGAGGGGTAGTTTGGAGCCTGATTTCCTGAAATTTATCAGATTACAGGTGAATCTGAATTTACAGGGGGAAAGCATCAAGAATGGAGTTGCTTGCGGGTATGGACTACAAAAATCAAATAGGACTGCAAATAGCTGGACACAGAGAGCAAACTCTGGTTTGCAGAAGTGCTGAGGCTCTTCCACACAGAGTGTGGCAGCCAAAGAGACTCCTTTCAGTGGTGGTCTCCAACCATGGGATGTTCTCCCTAGCGAGG